TGAATCTTGGGGATGCGAGTAGAACCACCAACCAGAACAATATCATGAATCTGTGACTTGTCTAGTTTGGCATCTCGAAGGGCCTTCTCTACGGGGTCCAGGGTTCCACGGAACAGATCAGCGTTCAATTCTTCAAATCGGGCACGGGTAATGGAGGTATAGAAATCAATTCCTTCATAGAGAGAATCGATCTCAATACTGGCCTGGGTGCTGGAAGAGAGGGTACGCTTAGCACGCTCACAAGCAGTACGGAGGCGTCTTACAGCTCTCTTGTTCTCACTTATGTCCTTCTTATGTTTGCGCTTGAACTCAGCAATGAAATGGTTGACCATTCGGTTATCAAAATCTTCTCCACCCAAGTGGGTGTCTCCGGCTGTAGACTTGACCTCAAAGATTCCATCCTCAATAGTGAGGATTGACACATCAAAAGTGCCACCTCCCAGGTCAAAGATTAGCACGTTTCTTTCAGCTCCAACCTTTTTGTCTAAGCCGTAAGCAATAGCAGCAGCAGTTGGCTCATTAATAATTCTAAGTACATTGAGACCAGCAATAGTTCCAGCATCTTTGGTAGCCTGACGCTGAGAGTCATTAAAGTAAGCGGGCACTGTGACCACAGCATTGGTAACAGTCTTCCCAAGGTAGGCTTCTGCAATTTCCTTCATCTTTGTCAGAACCATAGAGGATACCTCCTCTGGATAGAAGCTTTTTGTCTCTCCCTTGTATTCTACTTGGACCTTGGGCCTGCCAGCATCATTTACCACCATAAACGGCCAATGCTTCATATCAGACTGGACAACAGCATCATCAAATCTGCGTCCAATCAGACGTTTGGCATCAAAAACCGTGTTGGTGGGGTTCATTGCAACTTGATTCTTTGCGGCATCACCTATCAATCGCTCAGTGTCCGTAAAGGCGACATAGCTTGGAGTGGTTCGGTTTCCCTGATCATTGGCAATTATTTCTACTTTTCCGTGCTGGAAAACACCCACACAAGAGTAGGTGGTGCCAAGATCAATACCAACGGCAGGTCCCTTCGACATGGTTGCTGGCGTGTAGGCCTGGCCCGGACAACGAAGAAAACCACAATAATCCCGAAAACTGCAGAAGAGTTCAATGAGACGGGATTGCACTCTTGATTTGGCTCTCAGCTTGGATTATTGGTGTAGAGAAATGCTACTAATTTTGGTACATTGATTTTGTACCCTGAAATTTTATTGAAGTTGTTTATCAGTTCTAGGAGCCTTTGAGCAGAGACTGTGGGGTTTTCTAAGTATGGAATCATATCATCTCCAAATAGAGATAGGCTGACTCCCTGTCTTCCTATATGAATACGTTTTTTTCATTTCCTTGCCAATTGCTTTAGCTAGGACTTCTAGTACTATATTGAACAGGGTTGATGAGAGTGGGCATCCTTGTCTTATTTCAATTCTCAAGGGGAATGCTTCTAGCTTTTGCTTGTTCAGTATGATGTTGGCTGTAGGTTTGTCATAGATGGCTCTTCTTATTTTGAAGTATGTTCACTTGATGCCTAGTTTGTTGAAAGTTCTTTTCATGAAAAGATGTTAAATTTTATTGAAAGCCTTTTCTGCATCTATTGAGATAACCATGTGGTTTTTGTTTTCAGTTATGTTTATGTAATGAATCACATTTATTGATTTGCATATGTGGAACCAGCCTTGCAATCCAGGAATAAAGCATACTTGATTGCTTTTATATATACTGCTGGATTCAATTTGCTAGTATTTTGTTGACAGTTTTTGTGTTTATGTTCAACAGTAATATTGGCATGAAATTTGTTGTGTTGTTTCTGTCAGATTTTGTTATCAAAATAATGGTGGCCTCATAAAAGGAGTTAGGGAAGAATACCTTATCCTTGATTTTTAAGAACAGTTTTAGTAATAATGGTAATGGCTCTTATTTATATGTCCAGTAGAATTCAGCTGTGAATCTCTCTGGTCCAGGGCTTTCTCTGGCTAGTACATTTTTAATTACTGATTCGAATTTCAGAACTTGTTATTGATCTGTTCAACAATTCAATTTCTTCCTTGTTAAATCTTTGGAGGTTGTATTCTTCCAGGAATTTTATTTTCCATTTCCAGATTTTCTAGTTTGTATACATAGAGGTATTCATAATAGTTTGTGAGGGTTTTTGTGGATCTGTGAGGTTGCTGGTAATGTCCCCTTTATCATTTCTGATTGCATTTATTTGGGTCTTCTGTTTTGTCTGAAATAAGAATAGCAACCCGTGCCCTTTTTTGTTTTCTGTCTTTTTTCCTTTATTAACCTAACTAGTGGTCTATCAATCTTATTTATTATTTCAAGAAACCTACTTTTTTAAAATTTGTTGGTCTTTTTTATGAATTTTTGCACCTCCATTTTGTTCACTTCAGCTCTGATTTTGGTTATATTTTGTCTTCTGTTAGCTTTGGGGTTGGTTTGCTCTTGTTTTGCTAGTTCCTATAGTGTGATGCTAGGTTGTTAATCTGAGATATTTCTAACTTCTTGATGTAAGCATTTAGTGCTACCAACTTTCTGCTTAATACTGCTTTAGCTGTTTTCCAGAGATTCTGGTATGTTGTATCTTTGTTTTCATTAGTTTCAAAGAATGTTTTGATTTTTGCCTTAATTTTATTCTTTATTCAAAAGTCATCCAGGAGAAGATTAATTTTCATGTAATTTCTTGATTTTGAGAGATCTTGGTATTGACTTCCATTTTTTATTGTACTGTGGTCTGAGAGTTTGGTTGGTATGATGTGGGTTTTTCTTGAATTTGTTGAAACTTGCTTTATGGACAAGCATGTGGTTATTCTTACAGTATGTGCTCTGTGCAGATGAGAAGAATGTAAATTCTGTTGTTCTTGAGTGAAATATCCTGTAGATGTCTGTTAGGACCATGTTGTCAAGGGTCAAGATCAAGTACTGAATATCTTGGTTAGTTTTCTACCTTAATGATCTGTCTAATCCTGTCAATGGGGTATTGATACCTTTCACTATTATTGTTTGGTTGTATAAGCCTCTTTATAGGTCTCTAACAATGTATTTTATAGAATCTGACAGCTACAGTGTTGGTTGCATTTGTATTTAGGAGAATTAGGTTTTCTTGTTGAACACTTTATCATTATGTAATGCTCTTCTTTGTCCTTTTTGATTACTATTCATTTAAAGTCTATTTTTTCTGAAATAAGAATAGCAACCTGTGCTCTTTTTTGATTTCTGTCTGATTGACAGATTTTTCTCCATCCCTTTATTTTGAACCTATGGGTGTCATAATGAGATTGCTCTCTTGAAGACAGAATACAGTTTGTTCTTGCTTTTTTATTCAACTTACCACTCTGTGTCTTCTGATTGGAGCATTTCAATATTGACGTGTGAGAATTTGAATGTGGCATTATGCTGTTAGCTGATTGTTATGCAGAATTGATTGTATAGTTGCTTTATACTATCAGAGGTCTATGTAAGTAAGTGTATTTTTGTGGTGGCTGGTAATGGTCTTTTGTTTCTATGTTTAACAATCCTTAAAGGACCTCTCCTAAGGCAGGTCTGGTGGTAATGAATTTCTTACATTTGCTTGTCTGAATGGTATTTTATTTCTCCTTCACTTATGAAGCTTAGTTTGGCTGGATGTGTAATTCTTTATTGGAATTTATTTTCTTTACAAATGCTGACTATAGGCCGTCAATTTCTTCTGGCTTGTAAGGTTACATTTGAAAGGTCTGCTGTTATCCTAATGGAGTTCCCTTTGCACATGACCTGTCCTTTTCATAGGTCTCTAAAAATGTGTTTTATGAATCTAGCTGCCTTTAAGACTGTTTTCTTTTTTGTTTACTATGGAAACTCTGATGACTATGTGTCTTGAGGATGGTTGTCTGGTACACTATTCACAGGGGTTCTCTGAATTTCCTGAATTTGCATATTAACCTCTTTAGTGAGGTTGGGGAAATTTTCATGTACAATATCCTCAAATATGTTTTCCAAGTTGCTTACTATTTCTTCATTTCTTTTCAGAGTGCCAGTGTGTCACAGGTTTTGTCCATATAATTTCATATTTCTTGGAGGTTTCATTCATTTTTTTAAATTCTTTTTTTTTTCTTTATTTTTTTCTGCCTGTGTTGATTTAAAGGAATGGTTCATTTGAGTTCTGGGATTCTTTCCTCACCTTGATCTATTCTGTTATTGATACTTCTAACTGCCTTCTGAAATTTCTGTAGTGAATTTTTCATTTCCAAAACTTTAGTTTTGTTTTTTCTTAAAATGACTATGAAGTCTTTCCACTCTTGGATCATTTTATTGTTGTTACTGGATTGGGCTTTAATGTCCTGTATTTTGGTGAGCTTCCTTGCTATCCAGATTCTGAATTCCTTGTCTGTCCTTTCAGTTTTTCAGCATGGTTAAGAACCACTGCTGCACTGGGTACAGCTATTTGGAGGTAAGAAGACACTTTGGCTTTTAGAGTTGCAGAGTTCTTGAGCTGGTTTTTTATCATCTGTGTGGGCTGATGTTCCATTAATGATTGAAGTTCTCCTGCAGCTAGGATTCCAGACATCGGTAGGGAGAGTGGGCCACTCTATTTTACTCACCCCTTCTGTAGAAGCTCTATTTTACTCACCACATCTGTTTTACTTACCCCTTCCGTAGGTGGTGCTCAGGGCCAGAAATAAGCCGTGGTGCTGGCAACCCCTTGCAGTGTTCTTAGCTTCTTCTCCTTTCATCCTAGGGTCTGCTTCTTTTCTCTGTACATGCTCAATGCCTTCTTTCTGAAGATAGATGTATTCAGAATGTGCTGGTGTACTTGATGGTCTGGTCTGTCTTGGTGGGAGAAGCTCTTCTGGTTGCATCTAGTCAGCTATTTTGGCTCTTCCCTGTACATTCCTTTTCCATCTCTACCACTTTCTAGCTATGTAAAGTCAATAAAGTCACTTCAACTCTGTCAGCTTGTATTCCTACATTTCTAAAGTGGAAATAATAATACTACTTCATAGCATCGATTTGAGAATTAGAATTTATGAAAACACACACATAGCACATTGTTAAGAGCTTATATAATTTTCAAAAATGTTAAAAAACATGATTCTCATACAACTGTGGAATAGACATGTATCAAGATTGAACTCACTGATAAGGATAATCAAACTGATTCAAAGAGCATTTGAGGAACTTTAGTTTTATTTTGTCTTTGTTCTGAACTGTCTCTTAAGACAATAGGTTCAATTTTAATAAAAGATCAGGAAGAGAGGAGAGCCATGAGAGTTAACGAATAATAAAAAATTCAACAAAATGAAACAAAGTTTGCATCTGCCTAGAGGGGCTCAAGGAATAGCATTCATTTATTCAAGGCCATATCTGGCAATGTGTCTCAGGGCCTGAAATACTAGTCATGCTGTTTGCCAATCACACACATACAACTGTGTAGTCTTTCTTGATAGGAGTGTTGAACTTAATCTGACCTGAGGAATGTAAACTGTGTGAGCAAAGACAAGATTAAAAAAGCTCTCAGGAACTTAAGGATGGTAGATGTAACTTCCTGGTGATGTGTGAATAGCACTATATTTGGCATATGAAGAGCCAGATGTAAAAGCTGACTGTCGCTTGGCAGCAGCGATGATATTGGACAAATTGTATAAATTTTCAGGGTATGATTTCCTTCATCAGCAACATGGGAAGAATAATACCTACACCACAGAGTTGCAATAAGAATTATGTAAAAGATGGTTTGGGAAAGCAGTATTTTAAAGGATTACTGTAAAGGGAACTCTATCTGGTTTTCTTGACCTTGCCTTCTGCTGGCCAGGAGATGTCTTGTAAACTAGTGTGGGCAATTTCTCTCACCTAGCTTTCAGACCACAGTGATTGAAGCTTAGAAGTAGCTTGTCATTTTCATGCGTAGGGTAGTTCCTTATGTTCTTCATCTCTGTGCTCTGGGAGGCTGTACTGCTTTTTAATTTAAATATCACTAAGAAAAGTCTCAAGGAGCCCTTATGCAGAAGCTAGAACAGATTTCTGCCCATACCTGTAATTAGCTGTTTTACTACTTTGTAAAAAATATCAGGCCCAACACATCTGAACTGTGATGGGATGTTTAGAGGTGTATTATTTTATGAAAACCTTGACAGCAGTATTTCAAGCA